AAAACCCAACCTGACCCTGCCCTGGCACAGCTCCAGCCCTTCCCTGGGTGCTGTCCCTGCTCACAGAGAGCAGAGGTCGGAGCTGCAGACCCTGAGGAGTCTCCCCTCAGTCTCCTCTCCAGCTGAACAACCCCAGTGCCCTCAGCTGCTCCTCCAGACCCTTCCCCATCCCTGTGTCCCTCCTCTGGACCCTCTAAAGCAGCAGCTTTAGACCTTTTTTACCTCGTGGTGCCCAAACTGCCCCCAGGACTGAGGTGAGGCCGCCCCAGCTGAGATCAGAGCGGGACAATCCCCTCCCTGCCCTGCCCCCGGGACACCCAGTTCATTTGGGAGGCACCCGGAGCCAGGGGAGGGACTTCTCCCTGGGATCCAACCCACAGGTTTGTTTGGAGCTTGTTATTTGGTGATTAATTTCTCCACGAGATTTAATTGGACTCTTGGCATCGGTGGTTACGCTCTACGTGTAATGAAACACTTGCCATGGAAAATGGTTGGAATTACTCAGGAACACAACACTCACAAATAATCCAAGTACATCATGAACAAATGCCAGAACTTTAGGTGCAAGCCCTGGTGGCATCCCTTCCTGTTTCACGTGCTGGGAAGCAGAAAATCCTCATAAATTCCACACTAATATCCCACCAATAAAACAAACCCATCCTCACCGGAACGCAAGCGGTTCCCAGACCGGCACCGGGAAATCTGAAGCTGAGATGAGAGAGAATACTGAGAAACAAGAAGGTAACTCAGGGCAGAACTCTGCTTGTAACTGAAACAGCCCCGTGATGCAGATCACTGATATTGCTGCTGAGAAAAGGATTTCCTGAGCATAAGCCAATAAAAAAAATAAAAGCCTAATGCTGTTTGGCAAGAGCAGGAAAAGTTCCAACCAGCGAATCTCAAGCAACAGAAATAAAGGTGATAAATTCCTGGGGCTCCCCGGCAGCTCTGCGTCCTCCTAGTGCTGAACCTCCAGGTAGAGTTTGTGGTAACACAAAGAAATGAATCAATCACTGTTTTAGCAAAGAGGATGATGGTCTCAAACACCTGCACAGGGTTAGAAAAAATAGAGTTTCAATTCTGAGACCAGCCCTACTGGATTGGGATTGGGCAGGGACTGGAAGTTGGGAGGAAAAAAAAGGGAAATCTGAGCTCTTTCCCAGAGTGCCAACCAAAGCACCATCACCTGAAATAAAAGCTCCAGCAACACACACAGGGATTGTCCTCCTGGGAAAAACCTCGTGGGCAGAGTCACCTCCTGAACGTGATGATGTGATTCCTGCAACCACAACTGTCCTGCCCCAGTGGCATCCCCAGTCCTGGGAGGGAGCAACGTCCTTTTGAGGAATTCATGGAATAGAACCTCCCCAGTCATGCACAGTCCAAATTTGGTGCCAGTCCACCGAGACAGAAGCTGAGGAATCCCTGAAGGAGAAGTTTTCTTTCACCCCATTCCTTTCCCGCCGATCCACGGGAAACGGAAGCGGCGAGATCCGGGCACGGACGTGGACTCCCTCATGGAACACCACAAATTACAGCCCCAGGAAGAGCACCAGGACCATCCCCAGAACCTCCAACGCAAACCTGCTCAACCATCGACCCCACTTCCATCCCCTGAACCCCCCCCCCTGTGGCACTTGGGGTGCTGGATCCTCCCGAAGCCGGCGAAGAGCCGACAACTCGGGCTTTTCAAACGGTGCTGGCTCGTTCCTGGGGAAGGAATCACGGGCACAGGCAGTGCTGAGACCTCCCCCTGGCTCCCTCCCAGCTCCAAGCATCACTCTATATTTATCTGCATCCTAAGAGGAGCCTCCCCGAGCTGAGGAGGCCCCAGGCAGGAAATGGGGCTCTGCTCGAAGGGAAGAGGCTCCAGGGCGCTTTAGGGGACACGTGACAGGGAGCTGAGCTGCTGCTGGGGGGGAGGAAGAGGCTCTTCTTCCTTCCTGCCACCGCTTGCAGTGAGGGCAGGTCTTGCAAACACACCTGAGACGCCCTTTCTGCGCGTTCAGAGCAGAAATCAACGCTTCTGGTCTGCAGGCACAAGACCAGCTCCACCGGGGAACGAGGATTTTCCTCACGTGGAACGCCCAGACGACAATCCCGAGCGCCAGCACCTCCAGGATGGAATCCACGAGGCCCTGCTCGTCTGGGATTACACAAGTGCACACCTGAGAGATGGAATTCCGTAAAAAAAAGGGATCCTGGGGTTCATTTTTCACCCTGATTCTCCCAATTTCCCGCGAGAAAACCCAGAACTGACCCCTCGGGGCGCAAACCCAGCCGAGGGACGTTTCTGGCAGTGGAAGAGAAAGGCTTGACAGGGAAGCCTGGATGTTCCTTCCACCTGTATTCAAATCCTGCAGCAGAGGAGCCTCTGGAGCCTCTGGATCCTCCGGATCCCGGGGAGCCTCACTCAGCGCCCGCTGACGCCAGGCAGGCTTTTCAGCAATTAGCGCTGATGATCTTTGCTAACCAAGGGGTGCTCAATCAGTGCAAGGTGGTAACACCAGCTAATCCTGCTGCGCTCAGACAATGCTCCTCTTTCAACATCCCCGCTCCCC